GGAGCCACCGCGGGCCCGCGGGCCCGGTGGCGCACCCCAGTGGGACATCGGGCCCGGGCTGCCGCGAGTGTGGTCGCCGGAGTGGGCTCTCCGGAGCCGGGTGAAGCCAGCGCTCCCAGAGTCCTCCGAAAGGCGGCGGGGGTCATCTTTACCTCCTCAGATGCTTTTCCCGCCTTCTCTCCGTGAGGTGATAGCACGCCCCGGGGGCAGTGAACGCAAATGGCCGATGGAGGTGGTTAGCCAACATTTTGTGCTGGCTTTGCAAAGGCCGAGGGGGAAAAGCAGTGAAAGCAGGGCACGAAGTGGCCTCAGGTTGTGCCAGGGCAGTTTTAGGTTGGACGTTAGGAAAAAATTTTTCACTGAAAGGGTTGTTAAGCCTTGGAATGGGCTACCCAGGGGAGTGGTCGAGTCCCCATCCGTGGAGGTATTTAAAAGACGGGCAGATGAGGTGCTCAGGGACGCTGTTTAGTGGTGGGATGGCAGGATTAGGTTAATGGTTGGACTTGATGATCTTAAAGGTCTTTTCTAACCTAAACAAACGATTCTATGATTCTGTGAAAGTGGGTGTGCTTGGGGTCGGACCTCCAGGAAAAGAGAAAGGGCTCTGGCTTCTGACTCCTGGCTATTGACAGCAGCAAACCCCGTCCACATTGCTAAACCCCATCCTACGTTGCAAGTGTGACCCAAATAGAAAGCATGATGAACGTGCAAGATCGGGTGTTCCTTGTTGGGTGGCAAAGTACAGCTGGCAGCTCTACCCAGTGATACCTTGGTGCTGTGGAGCTGCAGTCTTCCAGATAGAGACAGGCTGTCTTTCTACCTCCACCTCACCTGTGCACTACTTGCCCTGGTTTTGCACATTATCCATGGTCCAGCAGCATGGGTTAAAATGGAAAACGTAGCAGTGCTAACGAGTTGCCAGTAAGCTGAATTTGGATGGTATCACAGGGAAGAGACTGGAGAGACCAGCTGTAGAGTGGAAAATTTCCTGGTCTATACCTAAATCTGCAAACTGCTACAGAACAGTCTGAAAAGAATATCAAGCATATAAAAAAAAAATACTTAAAAACTTTTGATCTGTTTTTAGTCTGTATGAATCTGTGATATTTGTGTTTGGGCATTATTCTAAGAGGTCTTCATTTGTGCCCACTGAGGTACCACATGTGGTTATGTCTAATTTGCCTTCAGAAGGGCAGAGCATGAGGGGCATCTGCACCCAGCAGGCCCAGCCACGGATCTCCCCTTACATAGAGGTGGGCGCTGAAAACCAGTCCCAGCCCAGTGCCCTGCTGGTGGTGTTTCAGCTGCGCCTCTTCAGATAATGAACAGCCTATCTGATGCCTCCAAAGAACAGCTGCGATGGTTGCTTCCATTCTGCTTAAGCTTCTCATTACTGTTAATGAGCTTTACTTCACAAGAATCCTGTGATGTAGAGAAAGTATTATTATCCCCACTTGCAAGATGAGAAATTGCAGCATGAAGAGGCAGTATAGCTTGCCTCAGGTCATCCATACAGTATGTAGTAAAACCAGAAACTTAATCCAGAGTTTGGATCCAGTCAGTCTAACCACAGGTTCACCTTCCTTCTCAGGCTCTGTTTCGCAGGACTCCACTCCTGAAAAACTGTTGTTTTCAGAGAAGGAGCAAAGCAATATTGAAGGAAACACACTAACAGAAATTCTGTTGAGCTTGTGCAAAAAACCCATGTAGTTAAATGGAAATGTTGCAAGTAAGTGCACAGAAAACAGAAACACAGAAAACTTCTGCAGAAACATTATCCTGGTTTGATAAGTGTACAAACCAAGAAGGGAAACCGCACACAACACGTTGGTTGAATACTGTGCGTTTAAGACTTGTGAATAAGGACTTCTAGCTTTTATTGGCCAAATTTGATGCAGGAGCAGGTGAATCACAGGAACATTGCAGGAATCTTAGGCCAAAGCTTCTAACCCGTGAACAATTCCCATGAAGGACTGGCCATGTTTAGGGGTACCACTGTAATCTAAAGAGTTGTGGCTTTTTCATCAGACCCTGTGGTAGCACACCGTTTGAGCTGTTCCCCACAGCAGTTCCTCTCAAGGAACAAAGATTTGTCAAGTGCATGCATCCACAGTCATCTGTGGTGGATGATTCTGGTACTTCTTCAGATTTTTGGGCATCTCCCCTGCCATGTGTCTCAACAGCTACTTGAGTGCCCAAAGGCACATTGTATAGCAGAGTAGCATAAATCTGTAAGAAGCCAACCCCTCCAAACTGGGTCCAGCAGCAGAGTCAGGAGATTCATCTACGTTGTCAAAGCACGTGCCAGATACTTGTCAGAAGAGTCATGTGCCAGACTGCTTCTGGCAGCAATGGTACGTATTCAGCTGCCATAGTTACTAACAGAGTACTAATCACGTGCGTGAGAACAAACTGTATAGAGCCAGCCATGCTTGCAAATAAACTCAATTGAGCCTTCAGTAGATTGAGCTGAGTTGGGCACATGTGCTCTGGCCAACAGTTTGCACTCTGCTTTATTACGGTTAGTTCCTCAAAAGTGCAGTTATGCTGTCTTTCCCACTTACCAAGTATCTCTCTTGTGCCTTGAGTTAAATACTGACCATTCTCCCCATGTCCTTCCCCAGTGACAGTCTTGCCTGTAGTACTGACTGCTTTTACTAATTACTTCTTCCATATCCAAAGTTAGGCAAGAACTTTATCTTTCAAAAACTTTTTCCTCTCCTGCTGTCCTCAGGGCCTCATGCTGAAACATGAAAAAAATGGTCAGGCAGAAATAACTCAATATTTATGTGAACCTTTGATGATAAATGACATTTTTCCCACCCTGTGGGGTAGAGTGCTTGCTAGTTAGCATACCAAACACAACAAATGGAAATCCATCATTGCTGCCTTTGATGGTGTCTGTGAAAAAAATATTGCTTTTTAAAAGGGAAAAATTACTTTGTAATTTCAAATTTAACAACGCCTTGTTCCCCTTTTTAAATGTAAAATAAAATGTACGTGCTAGCTCTGACTAAATAGCAGTGTGTGGGTATAACACTCATAAACACCACGGGATTCCTGTATTTCTAGCGTAGCCATGTACAAGTCAGTGAAGGTGTGGACCAGCAATTACACGTGGTTAAGGCAGCTATTCACTGAGCTGACCATACTGCATTCCTTACCAGTGGCAACTCTGTACCTTCATGATGGGCAGCCTAGACAAGTACGTTTTGTTTAGCAGTTGCCATAGGCAAGGAACCAGGAGTACGATCCGTTAATATGGCTCAGCTAACAAAAGGCAATGCTCTGCTCTCAGTTGGTTGCAAGGATCTGTTCCTGATCAGTGCTGATGGTTAGTTCAGTCATAACCACCAGCTTTAAGAGGAGCTCAGCCCAATGACTGGGTGTGGTGGGGATGAAGAAGAAAGGCTAGCTTCTTCCATGTCTTCTCCTCTACTAAAAGAGGAAGCTACTGGGGATATTCACCATCCAGTGTTTTCTCTAAATGGTTCTTTGTCGTGAACAAGTCTGGTTAAGGAAAAAACTTGCTTTTTCAGAAGAGGCAGAAGTTTTGCCTGGAAGTCCCAGCAAACTCTCAGAATCAGCATGTGTTTTGGATACAAGCCCCTCTACATGGCCTGGTAGCTGTCCGTGTGGAAGCTGATACACCGTGCCTGCTCCTCTACGGCTTTATAGGTAGCATATGTCTTTTTCTGAATTAGATCTAGAGACCCAAAACACAAGCTGAGGTGCTTTTTCACCAAAGTAGCATGAGGCAGTTTTACCACTCAACGAGAAAGTGTGGGGAGAACAGAAAAGAATGTGTGTCCTCTTGAATCAAGTCACTTCTCACTCAA